GCGGAGCGGGGCCGGCCGGGGCCAAGCGCGGCCCCGGCGCTGCCGCCCGCACGTCGCGGGCGATGGCCTTCCGTGGCGGGCACGGCCTGCCACTGCCGGGGGGCGTCGGGGAGCCCCTTCCCAACAGCCTCCTGCACACGCTCAGTTTAAGCGTTACCGAGTAAAACTTCAGCGGAAGCTCGGGTGGAATTCAGGCCAACGATGTTAGTGGCTGTGGAATTAAAATACTCCAGGAGGCAGTAGCGTCAGTTTGGTAATTGCTAAAATTGGGCAGGATTGCGTTTTGTTTCTCATCCAAAAGGCAGTCACTCTCGCAGGACTCCACTGCCCTGTAGCTCCTCTTCAGAGAAGTAGCTTTTAAGGAGAGAAGCGGCACCTCTTGATCGCCAAAACCACTTGCCACAGCACTAGGAGCTGATGAATTGAACCTGTCTCAAGGTCTCGTGAGACACAAGCTGTATTTTCTCCTTATTATGTGCACTATAATGACTATTTGCTTACTGAAATCAATGGCAAAACTTTCATTATAGTTTCAGGACAAACGCTCACCTTAGGCTCCAGTGTTTATTATTAGTACATACAACTCCTTTTCTGTTTATATTATCCAGACATGCTGACTCCCTTGTTTAAAGGTTATATGCTTGCTACCTCTCTTACATTGTTCAAAATATTCCAAAGTATGGCACAAATGACATTCTGAAGTATGCAGGGATTCAGACAGACTTGCTACCTGATTCTGTTTTCCTTAGTATCATAACTGATCATGTGGAACACTGCTGGCAGGTTTAACCTCTGTTCACACATGGCAGCTTCTCCAGAATATACAGATGATAAATACATCAGCAAACCTCTTTATTTGTTGAGTTTGACCTTGTTCAACTGCACTACTCTGTGCATTTGCTAAGAAACATCTTCAAAAAAAAATGCAAGAAAGTTGAAGACGATTAAAGGAAGAAAAAGCAGAGGAAGGACATGAAGGGGATTGAGGAAGAAGGTAGGCTACAGGAGACGTAGAAAGGGGAGAGGCCAGGTCTAGGAGACGCCGGAATTGGCAGCACCTTGAAAGTGTGAGGTTACAGCTGAGTAACACATCCTTAACCTGTAGCAGCTCTCACGCTAGGATACCTTAGGTATCCTCTTTCAGGAACTTGCTTGGGTTATTAGTTTTCCTAAACCCACAATTAATTTTAATGAAACCATTTTCCTTTTTTAGACCAGCTTCAAAGGGGAAAAGAGGAGGAGTTTCTCACTCTCCACATCAATGAATTTTGGAAGGGTAAGTCATAGGATTCCAGAGGAAACTCACCATGGAGAGATGGAGGAAACACAAGTTTCTGCTCTGTGGTATGCATACGTAAGGTATAAATTGAAACGCAGTATTTTAAAAGCAATCTTCTCTGTCTTCAAGATCATCCTAGGATACAAAACTAAGATAATTAGGTCACAGCAATTACCTACAGACCCTGACTTACTAGGAACCTACCATGAGTGTAGCTCTGTAGTGAACACCCACTCACACAGGAGTAGCCACATGGCCCCTAACATATACTACAGATGCATCCACAAGTTTTACATAAACGACTGCTTTTAAATACTAAATAAAATGACATCTTCTCCAGCCCATACCTGGTGAACTGTGCTGTAGGTCAGTGACTACTTCCCTAGCATCCTGCAGCTCTGTGCCCCAATCACGGCATTTCTGATCCCACAGAACACGTGTGCTGCCTTCTCAACAGTAACTCCACTGTCGCATCCCTGGCATGGGACCAAAAAACCGTATTTCCCCTTCTTAAATAGTCAGTCTGCTAAAATCTACATTCGTCCCCCATCACCTTGGCCATCGGCCCCTTCAGGTTCACCTCCACACCCACCTTCGCCCTCCTGCCCGTGGCTGGTGGGGCTCACGTGAGGGGTGACCGCAGGCCCTGGCACCTGGGCCACAGGAGGCCTAGGCTGCTGCGTGCCCCCTCGCACCAGCAGGCAGCTGCCTGCACCCATGCGCCTTAGGCCTGGCCAGTTAGGTTTGCTCCCTCGTGCCAAAGCAGGCAGCTACCTGCTCTCACACGCCCCGGCGGCAGCAACAGCCTGTCCCGTCCTGGGAAAGGTCGTGCCGGTAAACCCAGGCGGGGCTCAGTAAGCCAGGAGCGGCCCCCCGCCGGACGGAAGAAGGCTGAGCTTCGCCGGCCGCCGTCGAAGGCGGTGGGC